CCTAGTGCTTTGGAGATTCTGTTCCTTATACTGGGCTGGATACAGGGAGCAATGAAAAGGCCCCTGAGACTCTCTTTTCCTGGAACATGGACTCCTCCTAAATGATAACCTACCTGATCCGTTAACTAGACGCTTTATGCTGGGCCAGTCCCTTCCCAGTGCTCTCCCCAGGGTGAGGAGCTGGCTTGGGGAAATTTCTCAGCCCCAGGGTGCTGGGCAGGGCTGGTATCTGACTCCCTGTCCCCAGAAACTCTCTCTCCTCTCCCAGTCATCCATGTCTGCCCATCTACCTTTCTTCCATCCGTCCATCCATCCTCTTACCATCTGTCTATCTCTCCATACATTTATCCAGCCACTCGTCCATCCATTTCTCCTTCTGTCTGATCATCCATCCCTTCCTTGAGTGCCACCTCCCATCCTGCCCCTGGTCTCAACAGTCCAAACCCTGCACTGACCTCATCTCCAATGGCTTTGCTGGCAGGGCAGTCAGGAAGTCTGGGCAGATGCTACCCCAGAGCCTGTGCGCCCTCCTGGTGCAGCAGAAACAAAGACCATTGGGTCCTGATGGCTAACATGGTGCTGCCTGTCCCACCAGGTGTCCCCGATCCTGGGCATGATCACAGGAACGCTCATCCTTGTCCTGGTCCCCACCACTAAGAGAGGCCACGCTGACCAGCTCGGGGGGCAGCTCAAGGCACGGACCTCATGGCTCCGAGACATGAAGGCCCTGATCCGCAAGTGAGTGCTCTCGGCAGGGGTGGATCCGCTGGGAGGGAGAGGTGCTGAGATGAGGGAACCTTCCTGTGGGGCAGCTCCCGAGGCCCTGCTGTCTGCTGGGAGTGAGTGTTTATTGCTCCTGCAGCCTGAACCCTCACTCCAGGGCCCACAAGGGCAGGCATTTGAGGCCACCTGGCCCTGGGAAAGGTGTGATGGAGAGAAGGCAGTCTCCTGGGCTCTGATGTCTGGGACAAACCCCTCCACTCAGTGTCACTGTCCTGCCTCTCCCCAGCCGCAGCTATGTCTTCTCCTCCCTGGCCACGTCGGCTGTGTCCTTCGCCACAGGGGCCCTGGCCATGTGGATCCCGCTCTACCTACACCGTGCCCAAGTTGTGCAGAAGACAGCAGAGACATGCAGCAGCCCACCCTGTGGGGCCAAGGACAGGTGGGCCAGGTTGTGGTGGCGGGGTGGTGGGGCACTGGATGGAACACCAGCTCCTCTCTCCCAGCCACGGCCCCCTCCAACCCACGCCCACTGCCCTCTGTCCCCACAGCCTCATCTTCGGGGCCATCACCTGCTTTACGGGCTTTCTGGGTGTGGTCACGGGGGCAGGAGCCACGCGCTGGTGCCGCCTGCGGACGCAGCGGGCAGACCCCCTGGTGTGTGCAGTGGGCATGCTGGGCTCCGCCATATTCATCTGCCTCATCTTCGTGGCCGCCAAGACCAGCATTGTGGGGGCCTATGTGAGTGTAATGGGGGGCGTGCAAGGGTGGTGGTGGGAGCCAGGCCAGGGCCCTGGAACTGCAGATGCAGCCTGGCTTGTGGGACCCTCCCGCCCCGTGGGGAGGTGCCAGTCCTCTCTCTGCCTGCCCCTGTTCTGTCCAGGACCTGTTCAGGGCTCTGGGTGTCTTTCAGGCCTGTCCAGGGCTCTGGGTGGGCAAGGATTGAAACTTGTTGATAATCCACAAATCCCTTGTGAGCCTGACTGCTGGGAGATGCAGGGTCCCAGGGACAGCTGGAGCGCTTGGGGTGGGGGTGGGGGAACTCCTCGCCAGCAGGCAGGGTACGGGGGACAGCCCAGACCGGTAGTGGGTGGCAGGGCCCTGATGGTCACTCTGATCTCTCCTGGGCAGATCTGTATCTTTGTCGGGGAGACGCTGCTGTTTTCTAACTGGGCCATCACTGCGGATATCCTCATGGTGAGGCAGGCTGTGGTTGCCTCGTGCTGTCCTAGGCCTCTTGATTTTGGGGGGCAGCTGGGGAGGACGGGTGAAGAGGTGGGAGAGCTGGCAGGGCTTGGGTGTGGGAGGAAAGGAAGGCATGTAGGGAAGGTGAGCTGGAGGCAGGGAGGGAACAGAGATGTTGGGGTCTGCTTGGGGCAGGCCTGATATCAGAGGGTTGAGTGGGCAGGATGTGGGGGTGGCGTGGGGAAGGGGACGTCTGCAGGCTCAGGTTTGTGACTGGGAGGCTGGCAGTACCAGGCTGGCACTGAGGCGGAGCTGCCAGCCAGCGCTCCTCCCCCGGGATCTGAGCTTCCATGAACCCTGCCCCTCCCAGCTCAGGCTGGGTCCCAGGCATGCTGAGAGTGCCTGCGGCTGGGCCGGGTGGACAGAGCCCGTCTTCACGGGGCCAACAATGGACTCCAGACCAGCCAGCCAGGGACAAAGAGCTGTCTCTTATGTCCCTGGGCAGGGACGGGCGCAGCCTGGGAGGAACTGGGAGGGACTGTGGCCCTGGTAAATTGAAGTAGTTAAGGGGTAGCGGGAGATGGGTGACACCTGGTCCTGTCCTGGGGGTCCTGCAAGTCAGGGTGAGAAGAGGGTTGGGAGAAGGGAATGTAGAAAACAAGGGTGGGGAGAGGGTTTGGGCAGGCCTGGGGGCAGGAGAGGGAATCAACCCTGGAAGCCTGGTGATCAGTTGTCCCTGTGTGTGCGTGCATATGTGTGTATACATGCATATGTGTGTGCGCATGTGTGTGCGTGTGTTTTGGGGGTGGGGGAGGGATTCTGTCAGCTCCTCCAGGAAGCCTATCTTGCATGACTGGAGCTTCTCTGCATCTCCTCCTCCCCCTCTCTCCACCCCAACTCCAGTCCATGCAGGTGCATGGCAGGGCTGGGGTGGGGGGTCATAGCACATGTCTGAGTGAGGGAGTGAGTCTGTATCAGCTGCTATTGATGCAGGGCAGGCTCTCTCCCTCGCCTCTGCCCCCAGGGGCAGCCCCAGCTGCCAACAGGGTTTGGGTCCCAGGGAAATCATGTCCCATTTTACTGTCACAGCCAAGTGACTAATTATTGCTGTAAATGGGGCCATGCAATCCTGCTGCATCCAGGTCTCCCTCCCACTCCATAGTGGGGTGCCCAGTAGGCACTGGCTGTTCTTGCAGACCGTCCACAAAGGCTGGCACTTGACTAGATGAGGCAGCTGGAGCTCAGGGGCAGGGGCCTGTCTAGGGGTACCCACTGAGCAAACTGCTGCTCCTTGCTGAACTTGGACACAGGGCCTACTGGGTCTGATGGGGGAGGAGCATTTGGGCCTGAGGCTGTTGGATGAAGTGGAGGCTCCTGGGCAGGGTCCTGCCTCATCACCCCCCTATCCCAAGTCAGCCTCTGTCTTGCTAGTTCCTCATGGAGGGGAAGCAAGTTGGGTCTAGCCTGGGGGGATGGAAAGGCAAGAGGCCGAGTAATCAGGGTTCTGGTCCCAGCACTGCCTGACTCCAGGAATTTATGCCTCTGGGCCTCAGTTTCCCCATGATCACTGCACTTGGCTCTCTGACAGGCCTAAGCAAACTGGTCTCACAAGTTAGAGGCCTGGCTGGAGGAGGGACAGGTTAAGAGAGTGGGGGTTAAGATAACAGGGCAGGGTGTATGGGTTGGGGGAGAGAGGAGGCAGGCTTCGTGCATGAGGTCAGGTGGGGGCTCTGGCTGCTCTGGCTCTGACCTGCAGCTTCTTCCGCAGTATGTGGTCATCCCCACGAGACGGGCCACTGCCGTGGCCCTACAGAGCTTCACCTCCCATCTGCTTGGGGACGCTGGAAGCCCCTACCTCATCGGCTTTGTGAGTTCTCTGGGAGGCAGAAGGGGCTGGTGGGTGATGGGCTTCAGGAGGTGGCCCTGCACTGATGCCCACCCCCCAATTCCTGCAGATCTCTGACGTGATCCGCCAGAGCACCAAGGACTCCCCGCTCTGGGAGTTCCTGAGTCTGGGCTACGCGCTCATGCTGTGCCCCTTCGTGGTGGTCCTGGGTGGCATGTTCTTCCTCGCCACTGCGCTCTTCTTCCTCAGCGACCGCACCAAGGCAGAGCAGCAGTGAGTGGGGGTGGGGTGGGCCTGCTGTCCTGGCTGTGACGGCCCCCTGCCTGGGGGGTTGGAGGGTGAAGTGGTTTGCTTGGGGTGGGGAGGTCACTTGACTGTTGGGGTCCAGGCCCATTCCCCAAGCCTTCCTATCTTGTGATGCTGCCTCCAGCTCACACCCAGCATTGGCCTGGGGTGGTGGGAGTCCTCGGTGGCTCAGGCTCTTTGTGGTTCTTCTCTGGAGTTAGCTGGTTTTCAGAGCTGGGACCCCTCTCCTTCTTTTTCTTATTTTCTGACTTCTTTCTCCTCTCCTCTTTACTCCTCTCTCTCTCTCCTCTCCCCACCCCTGGCCTCTCCCACCTCCCCCTGGGACTGACGAGGTCCCTGCCCAGCACTTCCGGTCAGCCGGCCCCCGTGATGCGATGTGCCAGAGCAGTGCCCGGGCCCGGCCCCCGCTGATCCGCCAACTTGACCCCCGCCCGTCTCTCCCCCAGGGTGAATCAACTGGTGATGCCGCCAGCATCCGTGAAAGTCTAAGGTGGTGAGTGCAGGCAGGGGGCCGAGGGCAGGGCTCTTTGTGAGGGAAGGGTCAGGGCTGGGTGAGAGAGGAAGCATTTTAGACTGTACTTGGTTGGGCCTTCAGGGATGTTCTGGAAGCAGGAGCACCTCCTGAGTCCCTTCCTGCCTGAGCACATCCCACCAGCCTGGGGTTTGGTCTTCTTCCTCCTGAAACATTGCCCAAATTGACTGATGGATCTGTGGGAGGGGGTCAGCCTCCCTCTTCCAGTAAATCAGCTCCCGCCTTCTTCCTTTGAAGAGCTGAGGGCACAGGTCAGAGCTGGGACTGGCCAGGAACTCTCTGCTCTGTCCTGGATTCTGTCCTCCCAAATTCTAAGAGGTGCCAGGGCCCGACTCTTACTTTGACCTTCCTCTGAGCCTGATCTCTGGGGGCTGCTGCTTCCCGGCAGCACAAGACCCAAGGTCACCATCCCCACCCCTCCCTGGCTCCAGTAGACCCAAACCCATTTCATGCCCTTGGAACTTCAAACAAGGAAAATGGAGCACTTTGAAATGCCCTTCCCAAAGCCCCATCTTTGACCTCTGACCCCCTCCCTCTAGGTGCTGCAGGGACAATGAAGAACACTTGCTCCTCCCTAATCTGGGAGGTGCCCTCCGGCAGGCCGGCCCTCCTGGACGGTCCCTTAGCTTTCTGTGTGACCCTCGGCTGGGCACCCACCCTCTCTGGTCTGGGACAGCTGAGTGGCCGTGGCTCCAAGAGGCTGTGATCTCAAGCAACCTGGAAGGCAGTGGACGCTGGAGTCATGTGGTTGGACAGACTCCTAGCCCTGAGTTTGGGCTGCAGAACCCCTGGGGCCCAAGGAGAAGACAGTCCCCAGTTGGCGTATCAGGAGACCCTGCCCTGTCACTGGCATATGCGGTCCTGGGCCAGACCCTGCCCTCCCCAGACCTTGTGGCCAGGGGGCTGGACTCGCCCGCGCAGGTTGCTGGGCAAGAAATCATCTGCAGCTTTGAAGACCCAACAGCTCCCAGACTGCACAGAAAAGGGGTGGCTCAGGTCTCCGGGCGGCACTTCAGGTTCTGAGGATCCCTGAAAGGCTGGTGTGTGGGCACCACAGCCTGTCAGATGGGTCTCCAACCTTGGGGATGCTGGACTCGACCTGGCAGAGCTTGGAACCCAGTCCCTGGACGACCACTCAGAAGACACTTGTCTCCGCTGCCTTGGGCTGGCTCTCAGCCTGGAGGTCTCCCAGGTGGGGACCACCCCCACAGAAAGGGAGTTGGAATCACCAGGGGTGAAGGCCCTGGTGGCAGCTATATACATACCACCCGTGCCCTCAGGCTTAAGATCTACAGGGCCCTTGGAACCCCTCTGCTCACCATCTCCTCCCTGACATCCCCCCAAGAAGTCAGGAAGCCACTGCTGCCCCTAGGCTGGGCCTTTTCCAGGGGCAGGGCCCAGGGGACTATTCCCAGAATCCACAGAGCTATAGCCAGGGCTCAGGCTGCCAGAGGAAGCAGTCATCTACTGAGCTTCCTGTCCCGGGGAATAGTCTGGTGGAGGATGAGGCCCTCTGGGAGAGGCCAACACACCAGAGCTCCCTCCACGCAACAATGGCTGCTATTGCTCTCACGCGCATTTCCACACCGCTCCGTCCTCATTGCCACACCAGAGTGCAGCTTCCAACTCCTCCCGGCCCCTTGGTGGAGCATACCGTATCCCCTGCTCCATACACACCCTCTCTGCATTTGCTGGAATCAAGGTGGTTCTGGTCCGGGGGCTCTGTGGCCAGTAGGGGACCCTAAGAGCCAGCTTGGACAGTGCTCCCTGCCGTAGTTACTGGCTGACGTGGCTTCAGTGGCGTGTAAGCTAGTGGAATGCCTACTCCCCAACAAGCGCTGGGGCACCCTGGGTGGCCTAACAAAGGGGTGGGCTCCCCTAAGACCCTCGTGGCCTCCACTCCCACCCCAGCCTCAACTGGGGCCCCAGCAATGTTTTCTTGTTGTACAAGAACCAGGTCCAAGTGTTGCCTCCTCTTCCTTCCGGAAGCCAAACTGCTCCTTTATTTTTTAGAGCTGCTGATTGTGAATCTCAGAGTCTTAAGAGAGAAGCCAAATATATTCCTCTTGTAAATGAAATAAACCTATTTAAATCTTGCCCTTATGGCTCCTGCAGCAAAGTGGTCTGGGGGCGGGGTCGTGAGGAATGAGCATGGGTGGTGTGCTCTGCACTGGCCTGCGTCCACCTGCACCAACCTGCCGGACACTGGGCCCTGGCCCACACTGCCTGGGAGCCGAGGCCCTCACCCCATACAGGTTAAGTGGTTCTGTGCTGAGAACAGGCCAGCCAGAGCACAGGGAGGCCCAGCCCCGGGCCAGGGGTCTCTGCTCTGGGAACACAGAGAAGGGCTCAGGCACTGCTCACTGCAGCAGGCCGTTCCGCAGGCTGGTAGCAGACCTGCTCCCTCCAGTGCCAGAAGGTGCAGCGCAGAGTGGCTCGTTTATTAAAATCATGGTGAAAAAATAGGTTCTCTAGGGCTGATGGGGGAGGGGCTGAGGGGCAGGGCCCACATTCAGGACTTCTTCCCCTTCCTCAGCTGCACTTTCTTCTTGGCCCCAACCTGAAGGAGACTGGGGCTCCTGTTGGCCAAAGACAATCTTGCTTTTTTCCGTGGCAGTGAGGACTGTGGTGACTTGCCAGAGACCTCCTTTTGGGGCAGCAGATCCTTCTGAAGCTGCTTTTTGCCAGCAGGCTCTATGGGGGACACTGGAGTGGCCCCATTCACCAGGGATAGCTTCTGTTTCTTCTTCTGCAGCTTTGGAGTCTTGGCGGGGGTGCTGGGGTTCAAGGTGGTGGAGGTTGGGGCTGGACTCTTGGCAGCAGATGTTCCATTCACCTGGGGCTGGCCTGAGACCTTGGCCTTCATCCTGTTCCTCTTCCTTTTCTTCTTGCCTGTGCTGGGGGGTTGGTCCCCACCAGTGGCTGCAGGCTTGGCACCCTCACCTTCAACGGTCCCTTCCTCTTGCACAGCACCTTCTGACTTTCGTTTCTTACGCTTCTTGGTCTCTGGCAAGAATCCCTTTTTCTTCCGCTTCATGCTAACAAGGCTCTGGGTGACACTGGGGACTTCCTTGGCATCTTTCTTCTCTGACTTGGGGCGCCTGGGAGAGAGTGAGAAAAGTAAGGAAGTGGCCAGCAAGGGCAGCAATGACTGCTACTCCACTGTCCTGCGGGACCCTGGTGGTTCAAGGCCCCTTCCCCCCAACTGGGGCTCCTCTCAGAGTACAGCAGGGACCCCTGCCAGCCAGCCAAGGTGTGTGAGCTCCTCCCCAGACGTACTGCACTCCCAGGGTCTTCATGGCCTGCCAGTAGAGGTCGCAGAGGCGGCTAGAGCCGGTGGAGCGCTCCTTCTGCTGCAGGGCTGCCTGCTGGCTCTGCAGCACACCCAGGATGGCAGTCAGGTCTGTGCTCAGCTTCTGCAGAAGGGCAGGAAGGCTCTTGATCCCCAGTGCCCCACCCACTCTTCTGGACCCTCAGCCTCTCCTTTTGCCTGTACTTCACCAGTGCTTCTCACCTTGGGAGGAAAGAGCCCCCAGGGGTCATGCCCCTTCTGCTTCCCACATCCAGAAGGCCTGATCGCCACTTCCTTACCCACCTTCCTTCCAGTCTTCCCCACAGTGGTCCAGTCTGCTCAGCCCTGAGGGTACCATTCAATGACCCCAGAATTTGTCGAAGTCCTTTTTACCATTTCACACTCTGCCTTACTGAAAGGGGTATATTTGAAAGCCACTGGCTTCCAGGACACCGCCCAGTCCTGACCTTTTCCTGTCATTCTGATGGCCAGCTTGCTGTTCTGCAGGGCCCAGGCCCCCCTCCTATCTCTAGCACCCCCTTGGCAAGCTTGCCCTGCCCCCGGGCCTCTTAACAGCATCTACACTACACACTCCCAAACTGGGGACACAGACTCATCCACTACTGCCTCCTGGCCCCCACCTGAGTCCCCCAGCCTCTTATATCCCACATGCCCCGCCTGCTCCAGGGATGGCTCCCTACCCCTTTGCCCTAGACCAGGAAGCCAAAACTGGGTGCCTTCCTAATAACTGCCCACCTGGAGTCTCCTATACCCTCTCTCGTGGTCTCCAGCCCTCCCAGCTCCCTCTCCGTGGTCTGACTGGAAGACAGCACCAACACCCACTTCTCCACAGCTGGCACAGGCATGGCACTCTCTCCTCCCAAGTCAACAGCTTTCACCCACGGCTTTCCAATGACCAAATAAAAAGTCCAGATCTCTGGCCCTGGCATCCAGAACCTCCCTCACACGCCTGCCCTGTAAGCCTGGTTCCTCTGCTTGCACAGAACCCCCAGTCCTGCCCAACGAGCTCCTGAGGCCCAGGCTCACCTCGTGATTAACAGTCTTGAGGAGAGTGTTGAGCAGCTCCAGGGAGGACAGCTCCTTCTGGAGCTCCGACTTGCTCTGTGCATTCCCGAGCATCCGCAGGTTCTGGGGAGGAAGAGGCCAGGCTGAGCCACCTCGGAAGTGCTGCCCCAAGCCTTTACATTTCCCACATGACAAACTAATACCCCAAGAGAAGAAATGTCTCCTGGTGTGACCCCAAACCCACCCGAGGATCAGGATTCCAGTAATCTTTACTCCTCGTTCCCAGAGAACCTTTCCTGATGGGGGCATGGAAAGGGGAGGTCTCTGCTGTTACCTCAGTGACCTTCACCAGGATCTGACCAATCAGCTGCTCCCACTTGGGGTCTTCAAAACACAGTCTTAGCTCCTTCATGGGCAGGGTCTTCTGGAGCAGCTGGCAGGCCTGGGCCTGGGGCAGAGAAATGTGGTCACCAGGAGCCTCGCAAGACGGGCTCAGGCTTAGGCAACCACAGGGGGACCCCAGCGCTCTGGGCCCAGCCTGCCCACATTGTCACTGCAGAAGCTCTGGGTTTAGCAATCAGCAGGTGGAGGAACTGGGGCCTGGGAGGCAGCTAGGGCTCCCAGCTGGACAGATGTGGCACCTCAGAGATTTCCTGGCCTTGTTAGCTCAATGCTGTCTTCTCCTGGCTGCCCCTCCCCCTGCTCCACACACCCCCAGCCTGCCTGTCAGCATTTCTGCAGGTCAGAGGCCAGTTCTAAGCAGCGGGGCTCAGGCCACACAGGAAGTGGCAGCTGTTGGGCATGAGGCTGTCTCCCCGCCTCTCCAGGTGCTTTGTGCCTATGGTGCGGGAGGGGCTGGCCAGGTCAGGGGGAACAAGAGCATATGCCAATGGTCAAGATGAGAGGAGCAGGGTGGGCCACACACCCGCACCCTCACAAAGCAGCACTCCTGGGCCTCAGATCCCCAGTCTGCAGTGAGGTAGGTGGATAACCCAGACAATCCCTGGGCTGGGGTCTGGAAGTCCCTTACCTGATTGCGGGGCTGGGCTGAACCTGTCACACGCTGGATCACGACGGGGAGTAGGCTCTTACAGAGTATCTAGGGAGCGAATGATGGCTGTGAGGGGGAGACTGGGCTGAACTGAGGCCTGAGGGGGGTAGGGCTGGCCCCCCACTTACCGGGTGCCGGGAGAATAGGCTGAGGAACATGGGAATGGTGAGAGGACTGTTGCGCTTGGTCAGGAAGGAGCTCAGTGCTGATGAGTAGATTGGGGTCACGAGGCTCAAATCCAAGCCACTGCCAGTCTGGGAAGGTGAGAGAGAGCAGGTGTAATGTCAGAGAGGAGTCCCTGGGATTGGTCAGAACCTGGGTGCATCCCGGAGGCTGAAAGTTGGGTTCCGGGGAAGTCATGACCTCAATTCCCCCTTTGAAGTGGGCGGATGGCCCCAGCCTCCTGTCTGGGACTTGCTCCTATCTAAGGGCACTGGATTCCCAGGCTGAGCCTGTTCACCTCTCCACCCGGGGGCTTGGAGCTGGTGTCAGTGCCGGCTTTCTCCTTCTTCTGGGTCTTGCGGATGGTGCTGCCCTTCAAGACCCGCAGCAGGTAGAGCGAGGCATTGAAGTAGTAGAGGGAGATGGAGGAGTCAGCCTGGTGGCCGGCCTGCTGCACCAGCCGCTCCACCTGGGGGTACAGCACGTCCTGGTTGCTCATGTCGTGGCAGTAATGCCGGGAGCGGCACAGGTTGTGCCTGTGGAGTGTAAGGGGCAGAGTTGGTCTCCATGTTCTTTCCAACCATTCCCTGCCAAGCCAAGTCAACTCTGAGAGCAGGGGTCCCAAGCCCCACTTCATAGGTGGGGAAACAGACCACTGGAGCAGAAAAGGAAATCGACTAACTGAACCATGGGCCAAGTCCCTTCACCTGGCCCACTCCCGTCTCTCATGGGACAGTGGCTTTCATGCCCTTTGTAAAGCAAGATGAGGGGTTATGTGCTCAGAACCCCATGTGGCCCTGCAGGGCTAGGAGCAGGATGAGGACAAGGAAAGACATGCAACAAACTCAATACTGCTGGTGGGGAGAAAGCATGGCCTAGCGCTGATATGGGAGATGAGCTGTGGGTGCACTATCCATCATGCTCCCCTTTATGCTGTATACCTAGCATTAGAGACCCCAGACCATCTCCTACCCTAGCATTAGAGTCCCCCAGACCACCTCTGGTGGGCAGGGCTGTATCGGCACCTGTATGCCTGTTACACCCCTAGCCATGCCCTTGCTGCAAAATTCTCTGGTCTCCCCACTATTGCTAGGGTCGGGCTCACAAGGCCTTCCTTATATCCAGCTGGGTCCCATCTGAACACTCCCTCCTGCCTTGCTCATGGCCTCCAGGCCTGATGAAGCTCCAGCATCACTGAGCCTCTGTTGAGAGGCCCTCCCAGGTATCTCAAGACTGAGGTGTCCTGGCTGCCTTCTGTCCACCCCCCACTACAACCCTACAGCCTCACTGCCAGATGACTGATCTGGTTTCCAGGCTGCTGTGATCAGAGTGGGGATGGGCCTAGCACGGAGTTGGCACTAAGTGCTAGAAAGCGGTCAACGAGTCAGGGACCATGAATTACGGCATGACGTGTGACCTTGGGGTGGAGCAGTGAGCCTGGAGAGCCAAGTGGGCTCTCTTTGGGAACCTGGTTTCTGCCCTTTCTATCTGGGAATCCCCAAAGCCTGGCTGGCTCTCCTCGGAGTGTCAGTCTGGGGCCCTGCCCCGCGCTCACGTGAAGATCCGGGCTGTCTTGTGCAGAAGGTCCTGCTCCTGCTTGGTGCTGCTGGTGCGCATGCTGCGCCGGATAATGTTCAGCAGTGGCTCGATTAGTTCCAGGACCAGGGGGTTCTCCGGCTGCTTGTTCACTAGCACCTCAATCAGGTCCAGGACCTGCAGCCGAGATGGGTGGGCTCAGTCAGGGTGTGAGCACCTGCAGAAGGGGAGGGGCGGCAGGGCAGGAGGCGGCTGTGGGATGGCTGGTGTCCAGGCTCACCCTGATCTGGAAGTCCCGCCGGAGCATCTTCTCTTTCTGCAGCTTGTTCTTCTCATCCTTCCGGGCCTGGATGCGCAGTTTCTGCTCGGCAAAGAGGCTGGAGAGGCTCTGGTCCAGGGCCATCATAGCCTCATCGCCCAGCTCCTCCTCCTCCTCCTCACTGTCCACTCCTCCCTGAGGGACAGATGCCCAGTGAGCCGCCAGGCCTCCCGCGGGCACATGCAGACAGGTATGGGAGCCCTTCCTTGGCTCCTGCTCACCAGCGCCTTTCCCGACTGCAGCACCGCCATCAGCTGCTCCCGGAAGCCCTGGTCCACGTCCCCGTCCAGGTCCTCCTCGTCACTGTCCTCGTCACTGTCCTTTCCACTTTCCGAGTTTTCATCCTTGTCGTCCTCGCTCTGGTCCTGAGGGCGGCAGGTGTGTCAGCTCCCCATCGCCAACCATGGGTCTGCCCACCCTGCCCCGCCCCTTACTGGCAAGTACCTCCACATCCTGCAGTTGCTTGGAGTCATCTGTGACCACCACGTTGTCATCTTCGTCCTCTCCCTGGCTCTTCTCAGGGTTTAGCACCTGTGGGAAATTCCCAGACAGCTGACTCATCTATTGGCTTGGTCCCTTTGCCCTCCGCAAACCACGGGTCCTCGTGTCCCACCTGCTCTTGGCCACAGGCCATGCCCTCCAAGAACGAGGGCTGGTGCCTCCTTGGTCACCTGATGAACCCTCCCTCCTGCTCTGGCCCCACCTGAGACAGGCTTGCACAGCAGTGGAGTTTGAGGAAGGCTGCCCCCACCCTCATTCTGCAGATGACAGCAAGGGGCCAAGGGGTTGATGTGGCAGACCAGTGTACCCTAGGGCTTGAGAATACCCACCACCTCAGGATTCATTCCTCCCCAGCACCCAAACTTACATCTAGGATTAGCTGCAGGCCACGTGGAGTCAGCTGGGAGCAAATGTGGGTGAACACGGTCCGGGCCACCTGGCGAATCAGGTGGCTGGGCTGGGCCAGGAGGGCCAGCAGGATCTCCACCATCACCTCCACCCATGGTGGCTCCTGGGCATCTGCAAGCAAGGAGAGGGCTGAGCCCAGCACAGGCAGCACCACCCCATCCTGGGGTTCTGCTGTGACGGTGTGTGTCCTACCCACACCTCCCCCATGGGCGACGACCCACTGGTGGCCTTGGAGCGGGTCTGGCGGGCGTTCTCCCCCAGGCTCTTCTTGATGCAGGTCTGGATGTCACTGAGGAGGTCACAGCTTTCCTCAGGGGACTGTGGGCAGAGCAGGGCAGAAATCAGAGGAGGGGCTGGCCACGTAAGAACGGCTGGTAGCAAAGGCCTGGAACACTCCACCCTCCATGGTCAGTCACCTTACAGTCCAGAATGAAGGACCCCTGGCTGGATCCCAGGGAAGCCCTGAGAGCTAATGACCTTTCCTACCTAATACGGCATCAGGGTATGAGAGCCCCCGGGGAACCCGGAGCCCAACTCCTTCCTGGGTGTCCAGAGAGGAGGGAGCCTGACAAAGACACTTCACCGGAAGCCAGCATGCCCCTGCCCCTGCCCCTGGATTTAAATTTCTAGATTACCCCCTCCACATTTGGCTCTATATTATAGAGAAAGGAGTGAAAACCACTGGTTCTATTTAATTTAATCCATTAAATTTAATCTGGCTTGCACCCATTCTGCTGGGGCTAAGCCCTGACTTCAATCAGCGACTAGTGTGTTGGAGACTCTTGAGAACATCCTGCATGATCCGTGGTGGCAAATGCACATGTGTAGAGAGTCTTCCATTGAGATGCCGGGGGGCAGCATCAAGGCTTAGCTGAGGATGCTAGAATGAAGGGCAAGGTCCTGGCCGTCTTTATCCCTAGGTCTCTGCCCCTTTACCCAGGGGCCTGTGACACACCCTGACCTGCGGCCTCCTTGGTCCGAGTCAAACTCAGAGATGCCATGGCCTGGGTTAGGCTGCAATGTGTCTCAAATGAGGATGTAACTGGTGCCCAGTCAGTAGATGAAGTGACTGTTCCTTCAGCTGGAATTCCACCTGGGACCAGTTTGCTTAGGAAACTGGCAAGTCCAACTCTCCAGAGCCTTCCTTGGCTATCCCCAGGCCCTCAAGTCTCTCAGAGGGAAGCCTCTCATGCTTAGATCCCAGGTCCATAATCCCCTCCCTTGCAGGCTGCTGTACCTTGAAGAGGTGGATGCCCACCAGGAGTAGTAGGTGCTGGAAGGCAGTGGCCTTGGCCTTGGCCTCTGAGGAGCGGGCCTCTAGTTCCTTAAGAGTCTGTAGCATCCTGTGGTGAGATGGGCATGTTCTGAGGTCACTGCTGCCAGATCAGAACCTGGAGTATCCCCCATTCCCTGGAAACCCCCTCTCACCGGTCCCAGGCTTGGCGCTGTGGCTTAGTGAAAGGCGTCAGGGCGGTCACATTGCGGCTGTGGTTCAACAGCATGTCTGCAAACTGTACCAGGCGGTGCGTCCAGGGCCGCCTGTCCTGGGTCTGGTCTGCTGTCTGCCTGAACTGTGTGCTAAGGGTCTGCAGCAGGCTGGATGGAGGGTAGGGGTGAGGATGACCAGCTGGGCCAGTGACTGCAGCCTAGTGCACCCCTAGTGTACCACCACTGCCACTGCTACCCCCAGCCACCAGAACTCACAGGGCCTTAGTGGCTTTACCCATTTTAGAAGTGGAGGAAGTTAGAGCTCTCAAGGCCAACTGCCCAACCTGCTTGGCCACCCTCAGACCTCTCCCAAAGTGCCATGCCCACCTGAAGAAGGCATTGCTGACCACCTGCCGGGTCTGGCTCTCCAAAGGGAAGGAGAACTCATGTTCGGTCTCTGGGATCTGGGACACGGGCTTCTTTGTTTCGAAGAAAGAGTAGAAAAAGCAAAACCTGGAGTGGGAGGGAGAATACCCAGTATAGCCACATCAGTGCCAGCTCTTTATCCAGGCCCTCCTTGGATAGTATCACTGAGGGCTTGGTGCCAGGAGGAGGGAACTACTTTGGCCAGGAGAGGTAAAGGACACTGTACTTGTCAGGCCTGGACTCCCGGCTGAATATAGCTTGGTATAAATTGGGGAGAGAATCAGTATCCCGTCCTTCGGAACAGGATGGATTTGTGGCTGTGAGGCCTTGGTTAAGTCACACCGCTGCTACCGCCAACACGGCTCCCTTTGCTGGGCCTGCGACAAGGGCTGAATGAGCACCTGGCACAGATGAGGCTGGCGTTGAGCAAAGGCTCCCTGCAAATGCGTGGCCCCAGCCTGGAGCAAGGCTGGCCTGTCTGCTCCCTACAGATGACCTGACCTGGCAGCTTCTGGCTCAGGGAGGACCCAAAGTAGGGCCAGGCAAGAGGCTCAATTTTTATGCCGTCCCACCTGGAGGGAGTTGGGGCTTTAGCATGGCTCGCACCTGGCCACCTCCTCAATCAAGGCCTCTTCCTTCTCCAAGTGCAAATTGTCCACCATGCTGACCAGGCGAAAGATGATCCACTTCCGTAGCCGGAACACCGCTCGCGTAGGGCTGCGGGGGTAGAAGTCATTTCAAGGAGGCAAAAACATCCTCCTCTGCCCCATCCTGGAGACAGGATAACCAGGATCTCCTTACCCCTTCTCACTAGTATGGACCCACGCATGAGGAAACAGTCCTTCTTTGACGGTTAAGGCTCCTCCCACCCTCCAGTCCTCCACTCCCACCCTACTTAACTGGGAGAGGTCAGGGCCTTACTCTCAGCGGGCCCAGAAAGCCAACTACTGAAGTCCTGAGCCTGCTCCACCAGGTCCAATCACCTGTAGAGGGAAGCGTCCTGGTTCTTCTTCTGATTGTTGGTGCTGAAGTCCACCAAGGAGTCCAAGTCGGGTCGGAGAAACATGTCCCGCAGCCAAGTCGCATAGCCCCTGAGAGCAGGGGCACTCAAGAACTGCACCACCCGCCAGTAGGTGGGCATGACAGGGAGGCCCTGGTTGGTGACGGACGTAAATGCCACCACTGTGGCCAACTGGCGCTCGGGGTCATCGGGACAGCCTTGCAGGAAGGCACTCACGTACTCATTCATCTCTGCACCAAACTTGGACTGGTTTGGCAACTGCAAGAGGAGGGTGTGGTACTGGGGTCATCAGTCCAGAAGGGTCCAACAACCCCACCAACCTCTCCCATAACAGGTTAAACTGACACCTAGGTAGTCCTCCCCCTCTGCCCCGATGGTACTATTCTGCATCAGTGCTTTCTCCAGCCTCCCTGTCTCTGGATACCCTTGCCTGCTGACCTCCAGCTGGATGAGGTCAGGCTCTTTTCTGGGCTGCAGGCAGGCAGGGTAGTGGCTCAGAGTCCAGACTGGGCCACCTTGGGCTTCAGAGCCTAAGTCTCTCCTATGCCAGGCCACGTGTTATCTGCTTTTGTGTGGCAACTTATATTATGCCCACACTTCTGACCGCTACTCTATACTTTCCGCCTATCCCTCATCTAGAACGAGAAAGATGGCTCTCAGAAGCCAGGTGTAAGGATGAAATGAGCTGGTGAGAAAAGCAGACCCAGCAGCCTTTTCTGCACATTGGTGCTATTTTATGAGCCCAGTGGATGCCACATTATCTTCACAACTCCGGGGCAGGCACTGCTCCTGTCTCACAGACAAGGAGAAGCAGGGATTTCAGGCCCATCTCCATGTATCTAACTGTGCTTTTAACCATGCTTCATTTCTCTGATTAGCACTTAGCCTAGTGTGCGGGGCAGGGACAGAGCTCAAAACAGCGGTAATAACTACACCCCTTAGAGTAACACTGGCCGGGGTGGGAGAAGGGAGGTCTGGACACACTGCCAGGTGGACATGCCTCTGCTGAGGGGCCTGAGGGTAGAAAGGTGGACTTTGCCAAGCTCATTTCCGAGGAGATAAAAGGGGGTGGGGAGACTCAGGCAGGCCACTTTACCCAGAGGTAAGGTAAACCCAGACACCCACCCATCCTACAGCAGCTGTGCCTGCCCATCCCAGGCAGCAATAAAGAGTACCCTCTTTTCCAGAAGTTGGCAGATCCCTGAGGTGGCCTGTTCCCTTTCTTAGGAAGCAAGTCTGCTGCCTCGCCCTGGTGGTACCCACCTTACTAGTGACCATGTGCTCCCCAAAAAGTCGGATGACATCTCCCCGCAAAATCAGCTGCAGCTGCTCCTTGGACAGCAGGGGCATGGCGGCGCCCAGCAGGCGGAAACACATGAAGCTAAGGGGTTTGGGACAGAGCCTGGTCAGAGCCCTCATTCTTGTGGGTGACCTCGGAACCACAGGCCCATCTCCATGTATCAAACAGGTGAGGTGGGGTTGAGAGAGGACAAGCACCAGTGTACCTGGTTGGCCAGTGCTGTTTCTTCAGTAGCCCTTGTTCCACTACTTCCTTCCAGAACCGTGGGAACTTGTCCTCCTGAAGTGCCAGGCGGAGCAGGTCCAGAGCCAAGGCGGGCAACTTGTGCTCCTTCTTCACATAGGTGGCAGCCATCTTCAGCACATTCACCAGTCTATGGAGGAGGGTGGAAGGGATTCGTGGGGCACCCAGCCAGCAGACAAGGACTAGTGGGCTGGGCTGGGCCGCAGGGATACCCCGCGGCTACACTGCCAGTCTCTGGATGGCCAGATGCAGTGCTATGGTCCCAGGGAGAGCCAGCCCATCACCTCTCTCCAACCTGGGGATGTTCTCCTGCGAGAACAGGTTGACTGAGCCCATCAGTTTTTCCAGCTTTGCGGGCACCTTCCGCTTGGCCAAGAGGAAGAGCTCCAGATGCTCGGGGGAGCCAAGCACCGAATCCAAGTCGGCCTTAAGGACATTTGGCAGGATCTTCTGCAATGTGGCTTCTGGGACCTGGGGGCGGGGAGACAGGTGAGGGAGGGTAGCTCCCTTGAGGCATCCTTAGTCTCTCCCTCTCGACCCTGTTTCACCCCCCAGTCTCCTATAAGCCCCCAGCAGTGCCAGTGTGAGGTAGGACAGTCAAACCCACCTTGCTAGGTAGCTAGGTGGTATTTATTAAAAAACTCAATCCCCAACTCTCAGGAAGCTGGGTTTTTAACAAGCACCCCACCAATGCTAACTGGCTAGGAACTACTCTTTTAATTATTCCTCTCCAGGGTTTTCTAGAGGATTAGTTATTTCTTATACAAGGAGTCCCAAGAGCTGGGATTCAAATTCAGGCCCTCCGTTTCTGAGGCCTGGGCTGGGTCACCCCACCTTCTCTTAGGTAGTCTACCTCCAAGCAGAGCAGTGATGGCCCTGACAGGGACTGTTCTGCCCTAAATAACAACAAATGTGTTTAATATACCTCCTACATGCCAGGCACTTTTCTAGAACTGCCGTGTCCAATATGGCAGCACTGGCCACACAAGGCTTTTGGCACTTGAAATGTGGCTAATCTGAATGGAGACGGGCTCTAAATGTAAAATACACACTGGACTGCACAGATTTAACATACGAAGAAAATAAACTATTTGATGACTTATTTTATATTGACTGCATTCTGCAACAATACTTTAGATATTAGTTACTAAGTTATGCATCTTTTGCCTTTTTTAATTATTTATTTGTTTGTTTGTTTGTTTGTTTTGTTTATACAAGCACTGGGTACAGTCAGAAGCGCGGGAGGGTGAGAGAATTCACCAGAGCCAGAGCGGGGAGCAGAGCAGGCAGAAGGACCGAAGTACACTGCTGAGGGGAGCAGCGGGCGGCAGGAAAGGTCTGCGCGCCATGCGGGACCCTCCTCCGGTGGCTGGGGAGCAGCCGGGGATCGAACCGTCGCTGCAGAGGCCGCGGGCAGCTTCGCAACCCAGCGCTCAACCGCTGCGCCACCGGGGAGGCCCGCATCTTTTGCCTTTTTAACGTAGTTACTAAGAAATGGCAAGTTACATACTTTTGGATGTATATATTACTTTACTGCCCTTCACTTGTGCCACGCAGACAATGCATTTTTAATAAAACTCTCTATCAGTAGTAAGATTATGACCTACTGAAAGTTAAGTGATGGTTAGCACTTTCAGCAATATTTTTACTTAAGGTACACACAGTGGCCTTCATAAGGCATACTACTATTGCATTAGAAGCATTACATTAACAGACTGCAGCAACACTCAAACATATCTTCTACCTGTACTGGCAAGCCAAAAGAGTTCACCTGACTAGTTTTATTGTGGTGGCCTGGAAGCCAATGCACGATATCTCCGAAGTAGGCTTATATAGTTCTATGAGAACACGTCCATGTGTTAAAGCTACATCGTCCCCACGTTTCCGTAATGAGTAGCACAACCTGAGATCCCGCTGCTGGTGAGCCCCTACCTCAGAGAGGATGTCCACCAGGGCCTTCTGGGGTTGCTCCTGCAGGTGGTTGGTGTGCTGGGCCAGGGCTTGCAGCAGTCTCACTGACTTCATCAGCGCCTCCTGGTCCTGGTACCCACAGAGAGACAGAGAGTAGCCATGCCCCTACCTCTCCCAAGCCTGTCCACCAACCCCGTGAGCCCCATAAGCTCTTACCTTCACCAGCCTGCCTGACTGGAAGAGGGCTAGCACCCCGAACAGGTTTGCAAAGAGAGCAGGTCTTATCATCGCCTAGAAAAGGATGCCAGGCACCGGTGAGAAAGGCCCTGGATAGTTCCTCCCTGGCCCTCAACTCCCTGGGGTCACAACGCTCACCTTCTTCACCTTCTGCACATCGTATTTCTCCTGTATCTGCTCCAAGGTGCTGCCTAGAGGGATATCTTCGAAAGACTGTAAAAGCTGCCAGGAGTTGAGGAAGGAGGGAGAGAGGGGCTTAGGGGGCACAACTCAATCTCCTTGCCACCTCTTCTCCTTTCAACTTCTGCCAAGAAACCTTGGGCTCCTGCTCCTGCTCCTCTGAAGCTACTCACCAGCCTCTGAGCAGCGGTGATGATGGAAATCTCTGCTGCTCAAATGGAAGTCTTGGCTGCCTGCCTCACATCCACGGGGGCTTCAGAAAGGGCCTTCTTTTACCCCTCAACTGCTCAACTGGGATTCCCAGACACTGTCCCACACTGTGCCCGAGCTATCCCAAGGCTGATCCTAAAGAACTAGATCTTTATTGCCTTGAGTTGCCCAAGCTCTTTAGACATGGCCTACAATGAGCTGAGTGTTCCTTGAGGGGAGAAGGCACTGAACCTCCCTTTTAGCAAGGGAGCCTACTCCAAAGCTTACTCTATCCCCAGTAAGAGGCTGATAAACCCAACTGCCAAAAAGAAAACTTTCTCAACCTCTCAGTCTGGGCTTCTCTGTTGACAAGACTTGTCCACACACTTTCTCTACCTCCTTGTGGGGTGGGCCCCCATCGGCCCAGGTGTCAGCATGCCCTCCCCCTCCCAGGTCCTCAGTCTCTTCCCCTGCAGCTGAGACATCTGTCCTCACCCCCCAACATTATGACCAGTAGAGCTGGGACCTTTCCACGAACCACCACCTCACCTGTGCCAGGGCCAGACTGTAGCAGGGCCGGGCAGTTTCTCGCCCGACCCCCAGCCCAGTGATCAGGCGCGTCAGGGCGTACTTCATCTCGGATCCCTGCGGAAGCAAGCGCACCCAACCCCACCAGTTAACACGAAGAATCGGCTGGCTCCCGCCTACCCCTGTTCTTTGGCCGGGACTCACCTGGGCACTCAGGTTAGCGATCACAAGCTCCCAGGCCCAACCCCTGGGGCCCGGCGCCACATCGCTGCCGGGATCAACGAGGCCCCCGCCTCGGGGCCCGCCACCCTACCTTCGGCTTGGTGCGCAGATACTCCAGCAGCTTCTCCGTCGCCTCAAGTCGCGTCTCCTGCTGTGGCTTCGCAATGTCCCAGAAGAAGTCCAAGAACTCGCGGCTGTGTTTCAGCAGGCCGTGCCGGTCGGCAGGCCCGCCGCCGGTTTTCGCCTCCGCTCGGGGAGACGCGGGCTCCGAAGCGTCCGGACTCCCCATCTCCGCCATGCTCCACGAACACGTGGGCTCTGCAGCCGGCCTCTTCCAGGTCAGGTCGCGGCGCAAGCGCACAGTTTTGGCAACCGGGGGGCGGGGCCTGGGGGCGGGGCCTGGGGGCGGGGCCTGGGGGCGGGGCCTGGGGGCGGGGCCTGGGGGCGGGGCCTGGGGGCGGGCGCCGTGGGCGCTTCTGCTCTGCCTAGCGCGAGTCTGAAGTTAGGATTTTATTTTCAGTGTGATGGGAAGTCATTAGAGGGTTTATGCGGGGGAAAGCCTTGGCCGGATTTTCTGACTGCTGTGGGGAGAATGGACTGCAGGAGTGCAAAGGTGGAAGCAGGTAGACCAGTCAGAGATAACGGTGGATTGGACAGGTGACGCTAGAACAAGTCAGACTGGGGCTAATGCACATGGGGGTGATGCACCTGGGGAGAGGAAAAAGAGGGATTGCTAGGTTTGGGGCTCAAATAACTGGATAGGTCGTACTACTGGACTGGGGGAGTGTTTTGAGGGATGGTGGAGGTAGTGGATAAAGGGTTCTATTAAATCAGAGGTTTTTTTGCAATAGTAAAAGGTGGGACCAAGAGTTCTATTACAATCAGATAACCTTTTGCAGGGGTGCCAGGGTGGGGGTGGGCTAGGTGGCAAGGGAACTGGCCTGCTTCTTGGCTTGAGAACTGGCCCCTGGAGGGCTGTATCCCTGGTGACCTTGCCCTCTGCAGGGGGAAAGTCGGGCCAACCCTGGCTCTTAAATTCCACACACCCAGCTCCAGCCCCTGAGTACCCCAGCCCCTGGGGAACCTCCTACTCACTCTTTCAACCCCATTTTTGCTCTGCAGTCTATTTTAGAGAATGATTAAAAGATTTATCATGTCTGTATGGATCCCAAGGAGGTGGAGTGAGTGGGGGGTGGGGAGGGGAACAAAGACCAGCCAGATTCTGTCTCTGGGCCTCCTATGCTGCCCTTGGGGGGAAGCCCTGACACCAGCTGCAAAGGCTCACAAAATAGTAACCAAGAAGCAGGAATGGCATCGAGAAGACTTGATCTTTATTTTGATTCTAGCCCATTTGAGGGAGATGGGCAGAGGGAGATCAGCCTGAAGGGAAGGAGGGAGCTGCCAGCAATACCTCACACCCTCCCTGTCCTGCCACTTGGGACCCAGGGCCAAGGCAGGGGCTTAGCCTTCTTCTACCTGGTCATCCTAGAGTTCCAGCTGAACTAAGGGCTGCCCCCAGGCCCTGGAATTCTTTCCTCCTTATCCTCAGTCCCTTCAGCTGGAAAAAAAAAAAAAAAGCCAGAGTCCAGGTAACTGACCAGGTTAGGGGTTGGAAGCCTGAGCCACTGGTGAGCAGATATCCATGCACTCTTGATACACTGCTGGGCCTACTCTGCTCCTGCCTGCAAGGCTTGAGACTCCCCATCCCCCGCCAGACATCCTTCCCTATTAGAATCCCTGGAAGGAGCAGCAGTCTTTGGGGATACTGGAGACATGGGCGTGCTCTGCATGGGCTGACACCTGGAGCAGGGTTCCCTGGCCACAGATGCTGGTGTTTCCTGTTGCTCCTTGCAGGTGTTGGGCCTGGTGTTGGTGTTCGTGCTGGTGCTGGGCCTCAGTTTGGGGTGCAACCAGGTGGCTGAGAAAGGCGTGAGTCATGACTCTGGCCACTGCAGAGCTCCCTGAAGCCACAAGCCCCATCACATCAGCCTCAGTGTCATCCAGGCTGTCACGTAGAATGAGGGGGCAGGCCCAGGCACTAGTTGCAGACTTGGCTACCAGGTTGCTGAGCAGTACCCCAGTGCTTGGGGACAGGTGCCTAGAGCCAAAGGAGCTGTTCAGTGAGGAGGTGAGAAGGAGCACAGAGCCACTGCTGTCCACAGTGGCCAGGACACTGCTGCCAGGGGGCACAGTAGCTTGCGGTAGGCAGGGGTCCGGGCTGGGCCCTCCTGAGTGTAGGGCTGCCTCCAGCAGTGCCAGCAATTCTGGGCCAGCTGAGGGGCTGGGGGTGGTGTACAGGATGCCCTGAGGCACAGGTAACTGCAATGCTGGCTCCAGTGTGGGCATGGGCTCTACCAAGGGTCTTTCCAACTTCAAATCTCTGGCCAGTAGACTCAGTAGGGAATCCCCAGCAAGTTCTGGAGTGGGGGTGAGTGCTGCCCTGTGTAGCACGGCTGCCAACTTCGGGTTGGTGGCTCGGGCCCCGTGACCCAGTGGTGTCCCATCAGCCTGGCAAAGAAGCGGACAGAGGCCCCTTGTGCCCTGGGCTGCCAGGGCTCTGGCCAGGGGTGCATCCACCACAAAGCCCTCTTGAGCCAGTGTGATGGGGCCCACCAGCAGGCGTGACCAAGGCAGGTGGCCGAAGCGTGTGTGCAGCAAGTGCAGGGCAGGCAGAGCTGAGGGAAGCCCCAGACTGGGGGTCAGGGTCTGGACGGGGCCTGACGTCAGGGCAGTTGAATTGCCCGAGGAGCCATTGTGGAAGAGACCCCAGAACATGGCACCTGGGAGGGAGAAAAAGGGGTTACACAGGAGTCAGGGACATTGACTGGGGTCAGGGGGATTCAGCAGACTAGGTGAAGTGTCACTATTAGCCTGGGAGCTGTAGCTACTGACCAGGCCTGGAGACCTGGGTCAATAACCAGTCCTGGGGTCCAGATCACATGGACCTGGGATTAAGGGACACAACCTAGGGTTGGGGCTATTGCTCAAAACCCGGGGTCCCCAGCCTTGAGATCAGGCCCACTATCCACTTTCTGGTCACTGACCTAGCCCTGTGGCATGAGGATGCACCACTGCCAGACACAAGGCTGCTCCAACTCCTGCGTCCACGACGTTGCCTCCTACAGCAAGCAGCTCTCGGCCCAGGTGGGAGCACGTGGCTGCAGTGAGGAAGGGATCGTCTTGGGGAGGGGACTGGGACTAGTTCCCTGGCCTATCCCCTCCTTCCAAGCTACTCCCATCACTGACCTGCAGGGCTGATGATGGCACTGTGGTGGTATACACCTGGGCGGTGGGAGTGCCCACTGGGTGGCGGAGCCACAGAGCCCAAGGTTCCTGGAGAGCCGCCCCTGCCTTGAAGTTGGGTCACAGCCAGGGAGAAGCCAACGGCCAGCAGCAGCAGGGCAGCAACTAGTCGGGCCCAGGACCCCGGCAGGCCACCAACCTCGTTCCTGCAGAGAGGGGCGTCCTGAGCCAGGGTTTACACAGGGGGACACCCACAATCCTGAAGAGCATCCAGGGACTAGTTCCCAAAATGAGTGGTCTTGCAAGAGGAGTATATAAGCCCACCAAGGAGAAAGGGCCTCCTGGTGGAGTGCATGGTATGACTGGAGACATGGAGATGGAAGAGAGCTTGGAGGAACTAAGGACAGCTAGGGAGGGAATCTCTGGAGAGGAGCTTGGAGAGGCAGGGTTGACTCATTTGGGAGGGAGGGCTGAGGGGGCTTGATAGTCTTGAGGAGCAGAGCCCAGCCAGGAATAGGCAACCTGCTCGGCAGGTGCCTCTTGTACCAAGGGGCGGGGCCCAGGAACCTTTGACAGAAAGACCTTCAGTGCCAATTTGGTACAAATGTACCTTCAGACACACTGACCTTGGGTTGACTGGTACAGGCCAGATCTGAGACACAGTCCCATGTTCCCCACAATCAATCAGAAAGTTCCCAGAGCTGAGCCAAACACTGGGACGTCTGGCTCCCTAAGGCTCCAGAGAGAGCAACTAGCCAGCCTCAGACCTGAGGAGCCCAGACCCTTCCTGACTCACCCAGAGGAATCCTGGGACCTCCAGGGATCAGGAACAAGAGGCTCTGACAACTCCTCCTCCTCCTCCTCCTCATCCTCATATTCCATGTTTGGTTCCCAGAGCTGCAGTTTCTGGTAGAGCACGGGCTCCGCCGCGAGTTCCATGACCCTCCTGCCAGCCAGCCTTCCCAGCTGAATCCCAGGAGGCCCTGAGAGAGCCGGGTGGGTGGGAAGTGGAGGCAGCCTTGGGGAAGGGTGGTGGTGGAATCTAGAACAGGTCTGGGCAGGGCACCGGGCCAGGGAGGCTGCACGTGGGCCTGCCCTATTAGGACACAGGGCCCAAGGGGCTCTCACGGCGTTGGGTGGCATGGCTGAGTGCAAAGGACGAGCCCAGTCCTAGGGTCACCACCACAGATCTGAAACCCCAGCATGCACCATGCCCCTTCCTTCAAGAGATGAGCCCCTGGAGCCCCACTCTGGGGACACTGGTGTTTGAATTAGGACTAGTTATACTGTGACTTTGATCAGGGCTCAGCATGTGACTGGATTCCGATGTGGTCTCCAGTTGGGGTCTTCAGCTAGGGTCAAGGCTCAGCCTGAGGTCACTCTGGAGGTCTTTCTGGGCTTTTCTGTCTGGGAGATTTTTGGGGAGGCGGGGTGTGTGGCTGGGTGTGCAAAGGGAACTCCCTGGGCTTGGCATGTGGCTCTTGCCCACTAGGTGGCGCCACAGACTGCTCCCGAAACTGCAGCCGAGAAACCTTTCCCAGGATGCTGGGATTCATGAGGAGTTGTTCTGTGCAGCCCCATGGCGTGCTGCAAGGCAAGTTACAGACTCCAGTCTTGTCTGTTCTGTCACCTCTCTGCTGACCACTCTCTGCTTTGACTACCTCAAACCTGCTCCATCTCCCTGGCCTCCCTGGCCTCCCTGGCCTGAACCTTCAACGCATATCTCAGCAGATGATCTTGCTTCCTACTCCACGTAGACAGGTAAAGGTCTCCTTCTATGCTGCGCTCCTTCCCACCTGTTGCAATAGAAGAACCGTTTCCCGTTTCTGGCTCCAACCTCTCCCACCCTTGCCTCCCACTTCTCCATGGAAGCCTCCCACTGTCTCTCTCAGCGACTCCTGTCCTGTAGCTTCCCACCTCTTTTGGATTCTTCTCAGTGACATTTAAACAGGGCTGAGTCCTCAGAATTCCTCTCCTAGGTGTATGCCTCACAGACACGTACTAGAATGTTCCTAGCAGCATTAATCAGAACAGTCCCAAGTTGGAAACTGCACACACACCCATAATCAGTGGACTGGTC